TAATTTTTATATTGCAAAATAACAAGTATTATGATTCAATCATAGATAGAAATATTTATGATATCGAAATAATATTCAAAAACTAAAATTATAGATCTAAATGTTGAGAATTTTTGAGAAATACACCTTCTGGTGTACCCCTTTTTAAAAATACCCCCTTTATCTATCCATTTTCAAAAATACCCCTTTTAAATATAAAAAATTATAAAGTTTTATATAGTTTATAACGTACTTCTATATAATAACTACTACTGGGAGATTCGATATAAATATTTTAAAATGTTTTAAATAGTTTTAAATCGTTTTTATAAGTTTTATAAGGTTTTTAAAAGGTTTTTAAAAGGATTTATACGGTTTTATAAGGTTTTTATAAGGTTTTTATAATTTATTTTTACGCTATTTATGAAAGGTATATAAAGTTTTATACACATATAAAGGTAATTTGTGTATATATTTATAAGGTTACACACATATTTGGATAAATTTCAACATTTTTAGTGGGTTTTTTGATAAAGTTTGAAAATGGGGTATTTTTAAAAAGAGGTATATGAAAAAGGGTATTTTTGAAATTCCCCCCTAAATGTTTCATCGTATTCTAATTCTGAATCTTATGCTTGATTGAATATGGGTCAAAAGATCTGCTTATTTTTAAAATGGTATATATACTTTGTTTTTGGTATAGGTGTTTTTGGGTCGACATTGACCTTAATTTGGAATATGCATTAATCCATATAGGATTTAACTGGAATTGTTAATCTCTTTTTTTTTTTCGGTAAATTGACGGGAGATACTGTCCTCCCTATGTTTTATTAAATAAATTGAAAAAATTATACATAAACGTCTCGTGGCCGAGGCGGACCAACAACATCCTCGTGCAAAAACGACGCCACATCCGGCGGGATAACATTAAAACAATAAAAACCTAAAGGCAAAGAAAACGCATAGTTTGCTAACCCGTCGGCAAGACGGTTAGCTTCCCTATACACGTGAGAAATACGGACTATCCAGTCCGTTGAAATATAGCCATGGCACAGACGTACCAGGAAAGACAGCGGATGAGTATCACTAATCCCTGTCTTGAGGAAACCGACCACCATCTCTGAATCCACTTCCAGCTCCAGACGTGTGATTTTCTTCTCCCATGCTAGATATAAACCGTAGTAAACCCCCCAAAGCTCCGCTAGCGGGGCTGTACAACGGCCAACATTACACGAAAAACCTCCAACCCACTCACCTTGATCATCTCTTATCACACCACCCGCCGTAGCAATACCCGGGTTTCCACGAGAGGCCCCATCCGTGTTCAATTTGTACCAACCTACAGCCGGAGTCGTCCATTGCATCATCTTTTCCACTCGCCGACGACCATTACCCGTCCCGCCTTCAACTTTTCTCGCCTGTATCACTTCCTTCGCAAGATCCGTAATTACCCGCACACGGTCCCTACAAAGTTTATCTCCTCCAAACACATTTCCACACCTCCATTTCCACCCCCACCAACAAGCAACAGCAAACATTGTCGCCCACGGCACCTCACCTTCATGATCACCTGTCAATAAATTCTCATACATCCATTCAAAAAGAGAATTAGTAAAAAAGTTTTGTCTTTGTCGTCTAGGAACCAGGCGATTCCATATTCCCGTCATCGCTGGACAATCCCGGAGAACGTATAAAATAGTCTCCTCTCCACCCCGACAAACCGAACACACCATGGTATCACTAAGGTGACGACGGTACCGCTCACTATTGGTCATTATCACCCGTTTGGAGACCAGCCACAGGAAGACCCTGACCCTCTCCGGCGCAATAACCTGCCAAATACGCATATAAAAGCCAGCCATGTTAGCTCTAGGAGTATCATCCCGCGTTAAAAACCCAAACGCCGACTTCACGCTAAATCTCCCGTCCGGTTCCTCTCCCCGAGACAATTTGTCCTTAGCTCCAGTTACGCTGTCAATGACCACCGCTGAAAGCTCAAGGCGTTGAGCTTCTGTCACATAAGGTTGTATACGAGTCTGGTCCCAACCTTGTCCATCCGTCCAAAGATCCCAAGCTGTTAACCCAATAAACTGGTCCGGCACTTGTTGTAAACTTGTATCTCGGAGAGGTTCTGATCCCAACCAACAATCAGTCCAAAAACGAATGCTTCTCCCATCACCAATGACCCACCGATACGCTTGAAAAATAACCTCCCGCAACCCGCGACCCACACTCCGCCAGAGAAGCGACCAAGTCCCCTTCGCAATTGCCCAATTTTTATCATGAAGGTCCCCGACTTTATATTTAGTCCTCACCACACAGGCCCATAAACTCTGCTTATCGTTTAACATTCTCCAACCCACCTTTGCAATCAAAGCAGTACTCATCTCACTTGCTCTCCGAATACCCAAACCGCCCTCCCATCTAGGCCGGCAAATGTGCTCCCAAGCGACCAAATGTTGACGTTTCTTCTCAGCGGTACTACCCCACAAGAAGCTACGGGACACGCTGTCTAACTTATGCAAAATAGACGCCGGAAGAATTATAGTGCTCATCGTGTGAACTGGAATGGAAGTCAACACAGCTTTAGTTAAAGTAATCCGACCTGCTAAACTCAGCATTCTTCCCTTCAAACCGGATAGTCTAGTCGTGACCCTTTCTAAAATTCCCCCGAAAGTGTCTTTGTTAACTCTCTTATGTAACACTGGCATTCCCAAATACTTGCCCAAGTCATGAGTAGCTTTGATTCCACTCTCCTCACTAATCAACTTTGCCATATCTCTGGAAACATTTTTTGAGAAGAAAATTTTAGACTTCTCTAGGCTAACTTTTTGTCCCGAAACCAAACAAAACCGTTCCAAAACTCCACGAATAACTTTGATTTGGGCCACTGAAGCTTCAGCAAGCAAGATCAGATCGTCAGCAAAACAAAGATGGGAGAGCTTAGGGCCTCCTCTAGATAAAGTAATTGGTTTCCAAGCCTTTTGACCAATCGCTTCTTCCACTAAATGACAAAGTCTCTCCATACAAAGAACAAACAAATAAGGAGACAACGGGTCACCTTGACGAAGACCACGAAGCGGGTTGAAAGACTCTGTCCTTTCTCCATTCCACAAAATACTCATCGAAGGCCCCGCAACACATTTCATAATCCAATTCACCCACATACTAGACAGACCTGCTGCTCTAAGAGTATCCTCCAAGAAATCCCATTTTATTCTATCGTAAGCCTTCTCTAAATCCAGTTTGAGAAGCATCCATCCCTTACGACCTTTCTTCCTCCTCATTGAATGGACTACTTCTTGAACTATGACTACATTATCCGTACTAAGCCTCCCCGGAATAAAACTGGACTGAGCCGGGCTAATCAACTTGGTCATAAGCGGTTTTAGCCTTTCCACCATTGTCTTTGTGAGGATCTTAAACAAGACATTACAAAGACTTATTGGGCGAAACTGAGTGATCCTCTTGGGATTAACCACCTTTGCAATCAAAACAACAATTGCAACATTCGTCTCAGATTGAAGCTCCCCGGAAGCAAAGAAATCAAGCACAAAACGAACCACTGAATCACCCACAACCTCCCAACAATTCTGGTAAAAGATTGGTTGAAAACCATCTGGTCCTGGTGCTTTGTAGCTACCCATACTGCGCATAGCTTTTTCAACCTCCAAAGCCGAGAAAGGTTTTTCTAAAGCCAACCGATCCGCTGAAGAAATAAGCTCAAACCCGACGGAAGGAAGCACTTCACTACTCGGACTTACATCATCAAGAGAATAGAGTCGTTTGAAATACTCAACTGCAAGCTTCTCAAGATCCTCACGACTAGTGATCCAACTTCCATGATCATCTTTTAACATCTCTATTTGGTTTCTCTTCCTTCGTACAACAGTTGAAGTATGAAAAAATTTGGTGTTCCTATCCCCATGAACCACCCATTTTTCTCTTGATTTCTGAAACCAAAGCATCTCCTCTTGCTCTAACACCTCATCAAGCTCTTTAAGAAGATCACCCTCTCTGATTAACAGATCATCAGTTTGGTTTTGATCGACCAAAGCTTGAATCGTCGAAATATCATTCTGTAACTGTTCTTTACGCCTTTGAATATTACCAAAAACTTCCTTGTTCCATTTCTTCAGAACCCGTTGCAGTCTAGATAAAGCCTCACGCGTGTTCATCTCACGATTCCAAGAAGACTGAACTAATTCCTTGAAGCCCGGATGCTGTAACCAGGCAGCCTCAAAACGGAAGGGACGACGACGAGCATCCATTCCTAACTCCGGAGATAACTGCACATATAAGGGTGCATGGTCCGACGATAAAAATGGGAGGTGAGTGACAGAGGCCTCCTGCTACTTTAACCTAGCATGAGCGCAGCATAAAACCCGATCTAACCTCTTTGCAACAAAAGTATTCACCACCTTACCCCTTTTCCAAGTGTATTGGTTACCTTTAAAACCCATATCGATAAGTGACAGTTCACTTATCCAGTCCCCAAACGCAATGGAGTCCGGAGATAAACACCCATTCCCACCTGTTCTTTCATCAAGACGAACAATCGTGTTGAAGTCACCACCAATAAGTCGAGGGCCATTAATCTCGCTCACAACAGTCCCCAACTCAGTCCATAACCTACTCTTTCGATTTGCAGATGGAGCAGCATAAACTACTATGAGATTCAAAACCTCACTCCCCTTACAAATTCTAGCATAAATGTATTGATCCGACGATCGAACAATCTCAACATCACCAATGCCAGTTCGCAATAATAACCACAAGCCACCGCTCTGACCTACCGCGTCAACCCGGTAAGAATTTTCAAAACCCAAACCATGACATATCTGTCCCGCTTTCTCACCTCCAGCATGCGTCTCAAACACCGCTAAAACATCCGTGTTAAACCTCTTCAGAATATAACGAATCGAACGCCTAAAATTGGGTTTATTGGCCCCCCGGCAATTCCACATCAAGCAATTCATCATAAAAATATAATTAACAAAAAGAATCACCGGGGCGACACATTATTTTGTCAAGCTCCCATCCATTCCCAGCTCCATTGAGCTTTCACGCACTCCAACAGTAGAGTTTTGAAGTTCATTCCCCTTGTTCTGAGACCCTGAACCCATGATAACACCATCGCCAAGCAAGCGGGAATACTCGTGATGTGGCATTTTGTTCTCGAGACGCAGACGTTTCCCAGTTAACGAAAAGCCAGTCTCTCCCCTTATTGGGCCAAACACCAATCCCCTCGTGATACTTCTAGTCAAGGCCTGCTTCATCTTTTGTTTATCATGGGCTTTAACGAAGCCTGGCCGCTTTTCTTTATAGCCCATTTTCTCATTATTCCGCGACCCAAACACCATGCTCTTGCTTTGTACCCCACTCTTATCTTGGCGCAAGGAAAGTGAGGGATCAACATTTTCCTTATTCGCCTCCACCATCCTCACTTCCTCCGTGATTTCTGAGATCTCTTGCTCTAATTCCAATCCTCCAAAGCTGTTCGAAATCTGAATTTCACGATTTTCTTTCCTAACCTGCGAGGTGTGAATATTCGGTCCAATAATGATACGATCTCCTGCTCCTAACGCCCCAGTACCTCTACTCTGAACCTCCGGTCTCCGACCTCCTCGTCTTGCCGGAATAAAGCCATCCTTAGTAGGAACACTCTCACTCCGACTCATTATTGGTTCCATCCTCGGTAAGGCTGTGACAACGGTGTTATTCAGACCACTCGTATGTCCCTGTTCACATGCGATGCCCCGATCATGTTCTCTGACTTGAGCAACTTTAGGGCAGGAATGCACTAAGTGCCCATACAAGCCACAATGAGAGCAGATTGTTGATATCCCTTCGTACGATACATAATACCGTTCACCATTAATCATCACTGTCCCTTTTAATGGTTTCTTTAGATTAACTTCCACACAAACTCGAGCAAAACGCGCCCTCTCCAGCTTCGTCGTAGTAAGGTCGACCTTAAGCGGTTTCCCCAGCCCTCTTGCTATCTCCTCAAGGATTGAGGTATGGTAAAACGTAACCGGGATATTCGATAACCTAACCCACACTGGCGTAGTCGTTATCTCATCCCTTATCGGATCAAAATCTGGCGACCAAGCTTGAGCCATTAGATAGCTACCAAAAATTTTCCACGGTCCCCCTGTTAAAGCTGCCATGTACTCCTCCTCCGACTCAAAGCGAACCATGAAAAACTGTCTAGGTAAATCGAGAACAAACATGTCACGGCTTGGATTCCACATATCCCTAAGCCGTCGACTGAGCACCGCTATTGTTATATTGCGTCCCAAAACCTTCACAACCATGCAGTTCTTCCATAGCCCATGCATCGCCTCTATAATCTCAGCACCTATGGTTATAAACGGTTCCCCATCTTCCCCATTAGGGAACTCCAACCGAACTCTTGATTTCACAAACGCCGCATCCAAAACCTCCTCCGGCATCCTCATCCCTCCACCATGACTTCCTTTCACCTTCTGCGCCCATGACCCCGGAGCATCCGGCGGGTCTCCAGGCGGCCTACTCTTCTCCCCAACCTCCTCCATCGTAGCATCACGATCAGTCACCCCCAAAACCCTAGTATTCAGACCATCCAAAACCCTAGCATCCCTCATCACATCCAGAGAACTACTATATCAATAGAAGTTACAAACAAAATATATCTGGAATTGTTAATCTCTTTTGTTGAAAGTTATAATAGAGTGCATTATTAATTCCAGACACGTGGTACACTTGCGATCCACCATCACTAAAATTATTTTGATGAAAATTAAATGTTTAAAAAGCTCGCAGATCAAATGGTAGGACAGGTTATATTTGATATTTATATTATTTAGATTAATTAAATGGAATTGTTAGTCTCCTTTGAAAAATATATAATTGCAATACAAAATTATTAAACTGCATATGTATTACGGATTAAATCTAAAAATACCAACGTTTAATAAATTATATAACTGTAATATTAAATAGAAAGCTTAAAAAAAAATAAACATAGAAATAAATTTTGCCCCGCTGTACCATTAATATTTGAATATTAGACATATTTATTTAAGTTGATTAAATTATGATTACGTAAAAACAAAAATGGTTTTGTGTGGTAGACCACATGTTAAGTCCTATGATTAATAACTAAATTCTATATTTAAACACAAACAAATACAATTTAAATTTTTAAAATTTTAGTTAAAAAAAATTTTCCGCGTATACAACGGGTAATAAAGTTATTTTTGTTTGCAGAAAAAAAAATATTTGTGTTTTTTATATTCGTTTATAAATATAAAACTATTCGAGCTGTAAAAGATAAAGAATTTTATACATTAACTATATTACTTTGGTTAATGCAATTGTTTGCTGGATATTTATCTGGAATGCTTGCTGGATATTTGGTTAATGCAATTGTTTTGGTGGATTGTTGTTTTACTGTCTTTCGCTGGTTTTATTGTGTATGGTTGGTTTAATTTGGAATTGCTAGTGAACCGGTTTAAAATTGAAATTGGATGAGTTAAATTGCTTTAACTGGTTTTAGTTGGTCCATTACAGTATATGGGTTTTTTCAGCCACTAACTACACTAATTAAAATTTTTTAAGAATATGTTCGATTTGAACAATATATATCCCTATGATGTTTAATATTATGTTCAACTACTAGTATATGCTTCCAAGACGTACGAGCTTCCTAAATATTTTAAAACTCGTTCACCTCTTCTAAATGTTTACGTTTCTGCGTACTTGATTCCGATTCTGGTTCCACGCAGTTTAGGTAAATACTTGATTCTGATTCCGATTCTATGCAGCTTAGGTTAGACAACCAAAATATCTCCATTACTTTAGTATCATCGTAAAGGATTGATATATTAATAGACCACTCAGAAAATTGAGGTATCCAAGGAATTCACAACAAGAAATTAATTTCTCATACCACACTTCAACATTTTAGAATGAATCCAGCTTTCATGACATAAACCACTTGCCGAGGAATCATCTCACGTGGAATAACATCTTTCATTTCATGATGTCCATTGATCGAGATCAACACAACAACACATATTAAAACTGATTGATCAAGAATTACGAGACTTCTTTAAGAGTTTTGTTTAAATGTGTGCATGATAACATGTTTGCTTCAGCGAGAGTTCAAGAAATATGTGGGAGAAATCAAGAAACCAAAGATTTACATGGAAATAAAATGTTTCTTAGAGAGTTGACTTTATGAACTGGTTTCTTTATCTTAGTATAACAAAGCTAATTTGAGTTGTAGACATTCTTAAGAGATAGAGTTCTTATGATTACACAGTTATGTTGTGCCACTATATGATATATGCTCTAGCTATAAAACATATAGACTTAAACCATATGAATCCTAATATTAATTAATTTAGAACATTAGAGAGAGAAAGATCTCGAATAAAAGCTAAAAATTAGTAAACCTTAACATTAATTAATTTGATAACTAACCTAAATCGAGAAGCTTAAACCCATTTTTTATAAGAAACATGATACAATAGTTAATGTATGATGTTTGTATTTGAACTTTTTTTTTTATTAATAGAAGTTAATGTATGATGGTTTTATCCTAAATACCATCTTATTATACAAATATGCTTTTATGGTAGTGATATACAACTTGATTAAGGGGGGGTTATTGGGAGGATGATTTTAAAAGAGTTTATGGATTTCTAAAGTTTAGAGATTTTAAGATTCTCAAAAATTTTTGTGGATTCTAAAATAATGTTTACCCAGATTTCTAGAGTTTAATAGATTCTTCATATGATAGATTCTATAAATACTTGTGAGAATTGCAGTATTTTGAAAGTTGTTTTTAATGACTAAATATGTAAGGAATCATTAAACCAATAACACTAGAATTTGATAGAATTGGAAAATCAATAAATACTCAACTTTTTGAATAACAAAGGATTTTAAATAGAATTACAAAATACATACACCAATAACAAGAGATTTTATTAGGAATCTAAGAATCTATAAACCAATAACAATGGAATCTTAAACTCTAAAAATCTTTAAAAATCATTCTCCCAATAACTCCCCCTAATTTTAACGGAGTATTGCGGTTGCACGTGCAAAAGTTTGCGAAAGCAGAAGGTTTAGTTCCCAGTGTTACCAAATGATTTAAATTATTAGTTTAGAGGTTGACAATTAATGTGAGTATAGAGAATTTGATGAATTTTTTTTTCCTTGACATAATTGTTTAGGTAGGTTTTAATATTGGTGTTAACCCGCGGCATACCGTCACAAAATATTTTATCTATACATACAACAATGATAGAATTTTATATTTTTGTTATTATTTAAAGTTTCTAAGATTTAATTTCTGTGCTTGTAGATGTAACCGTAGTACATATGGAATTTAGTAATTAGATACTGTAATTACACATATTAACTGTCAAAGAAATAACATTTTCATTTAATTCATCGTCTAATAGACTAATGTTAATTCTAACCCGTTCAACCTATTGATCCAAAAGCTCTAAACTAATTTTGTCAAAATAATGTTTTGACAAAATAATGTTTTGTCACATGAGACTATTATTATCAAATGATCTTTTATGGAGGTAAAATATTAAATTTCTAAGTAAGAACTATATAGTATATCTTGTTCAAGTTAAAGTTATTTACATTGATTTCATAATTATTATTTATAAAATGTTGCAATAAACATACGGAAATATTTTTTTTTCTAAGTAATAAATTATATATTTTTTGAATTTTTTTTGGTTAATATATATAATTACAAAAAAAAATCTAATGTTTGCATAATTGAAGTCATGGTACATATGTAATTTAATATTGTGAATACATATTTACTTAGAGGTGTGAAAAAAATAAAACATTTTACAATAGTTAAACCATTTCCAAATGATGGTCGATATTGACTCAAAAAATTAACAAAAGTATACAACCCGTTTATAAAGATGTTCGTCTTTTGATTCAGATCATACTAAGACCAATATCCAAAATTAGAATACAAAAATCATTTAAAAAAGAATAAGAGTCAATTACATGTAGACATACTTTTGGCAAAACAAATGTCATTCAGACCTACTTTTGGCTAGTGGTATACTTTTCCTCTATTTTTTCAAAGAAGGACATATTATGTTGGACATTTTTGTCCTCATGTTAGCTAGTTATGTTTGCGCCAAACAAATACGATTGTTTTGAGGTACTGTTTTACCAAAACTAATATATATATTTTTTCTTTCTTCTCTCTATCTTTTGTCATTTGTTTTCTCTTTCTATCTACAAAAAAAAATGTAAGATCTCGGTTCACCATCTCCAAATTAATTCATATGTTTGATCCTAATTTTTGATAAACAAGGATGAAGAATACCATAGCAAGAACGACCTTATTGCTATTTATGTTTGATTTAACGAGCTATGTTCTGGTGTGGCGTGACTATCGTGGTGATGTCACCGCTGCTCAAGCTGAGCGTTTCTTCACCATTCATCAAAAAAGTATTTTACTCTTCCGATCTTTGATTTCTAGATGTGTGATTTAGTGTTTATTTGGTGAATTTCAGTTTAGGTTGAAGAAATGTTGAGAGATGGAAGAAGTATGGGTATTGAAAAAAGGAAGTGATACGGCGGTGCACGGCGGAGCTCATGGTTTTTCTTTTTGGACAATAAGGTTTTCGTTCTTGATTCATCCCATGGGTTTCCTTGATCTCATGAAGATGACCACATAAATGACATTGCTTGGACAATTATTAATCGAAAACTACGCCTTGGTTGATAACTTTTTGGGAGCTTGTTATATTTGGAGAAATTAGAGTCTTGCACCTCATCCACATGATCGTATCCATAGCACTACATCCACTGATGTAAGCAATGAGTTGACTAGTGCACTCGAAAAAGATGAGCCCCTTGACCATCCATATGTTTGCATCCATCTGAGTTTTTACTGTTGATTCCACAAAGATCTTACTATATGGTCATTTAGCTAGTGGACATACAAAGTAGATGGGAATGGTCATTGTGTGGTTTCTAATGTTAAAGGGATTTAATATCTCATTATCTTGTATCATGGTATGTCAATGATGTGTCCATAACATAGTTTACGTAATAATTTTTTTGAGATAGTTTTTAACCTTAAAACACACACATATGAATACTCATAAACAAACGACGATTGTTCAAGAATTATTCAATGGCATATATTTTAATTGATCATATTCACGTTTCCGAGTATTCTCTAGCTCTCTCGCAACTTCTATTTTCCTCATTATATTTCTTATACTTAGAGAATTCCACATTGCTTAGAAGAATTATACCATATACATATGTTTAAAAGGAAAAATGGACAATGTGTGTTAAAGTATAATGTTACCGTGAAATCACCCACGGTCACATGCGCTCACTACTATTGTCTAATTCTCTGAAAGAAGAACAATTGGAGAAGAACAAGATCATGAATGATGATCCATAAGTACGTATCTGGCTGTTATTTCTTTGTTAATCTTGCATTATATCCATATGGATACCGAGTCATCTGGTTGACAATAAACAAAGCATTTGCATAGCAAAAACTTAGATATTTTTTTGTTAGGTTCACTTGCATTTGTTTGACAAAATAAAAAAAAGGTTCACTTGCATT